TCCGCAGTTAGTTACACGAATTCAAACATAAAGCTTTAATTAGTTGTACTTATGCACAATTTACTTGTACTTTTGAATTTTAAGTAATATGCATCAATAAACAGCACTTTATGCATAAAAATTGGTTTTTATGAGTTTGTGTCAAATGCTTTATAATATAGTATAGATTAAAGTATAATAGTTAATTAATATAATAAACTCAAAGTATAAAAAATTAATATATTTTTATTTTTTAGACTTAATTACGGATTTCGTTCCTATGGTTTATGTGGTTTTACGAAATTGGTCCCTTGAGTAAAGACAAAAAAAAAAAGAACAAAAATCCCGTCAAGGTTAATGGAGGAACTGATGGCCGTTAGAGAGAGGGATCAATTTGTTACGAAACGACATACACGAGTTTTAATATGTAATAAATGAAGTTTAGGGACCATTTTCGTAAAAACTATCAAACCATAGAGATTAATTCCATAATTTACTACTAAAATAAAGTTATCATGACATCAAAATTAGGTTTAGCCCGATCACGTAAGCATAAAGATGGGACTTTTCATGCCGATCTTTTTCTAGAAGATTTTGGTACGATGGAATTTTTAGTTAGGAAAAAAGTCCATCACCATCAATATTAATTGGTTTCATACAAAATCCGTCTCTAAGGACATTATTATATAAGGAGCATTTTTTGCCTTAATCACGGCTTAGGCTAGCAAAGACCTGGGGATCAATCACGGGACCTATCTTGTAATTAGACAAGGTCACTTCACTCCTTACCACTTGAGTTACACGTTACAGGACATGACGGAAATTTTTTGATGCATTGGTTAATAATTTACTAATGATATAAATCTAAGGGTGTCTTTGATGATGATTTTAGTTTGCGGAAAAAAAAGATCTAATAGAAAACAATTATTTAGAAGATGGAATTTGACTGGATAATTTATTGAACAAGTTACAAATAAGAATTAAAATTCAAAATGTTTTAAGACATCATTTCAAATTAGACGTAACTGTTGATCTCCTTTCTTGCACCGACTCTCCATCTAACGTCAGACTCTTGGCATATTATCTGGAAGGCGATTGTTTGGATTGCTTGCTATATGATTTGGAATCAACGCTACAAACGGCTTTTTCAATAGCAAGGGTGTTCAATATATCGACCTTTTTTCAGAATTCAACTCCTATTGTTTCAATGGATCCCGAACCTAACCATTTTGTGGCCCGCATGTTGTGGTGGTCAATTCTTTGATGGTTGGTTTCAAGGGGTTGGTTTTTCTTTTGTGCTCGTGTTTAGTTTTGATCTCGAGTTGCCTTTTGTTTAGTCGGTTTTGCTTAGCTTTGAGGTTCTTTGTTGTTGGCTAGTCTTGTTTTCTGCTTCTCGCAGAATTGTCGGCCGTCCTTTCTTGTATACCCGGTGTTTTGTTTTAAAAATAAAACTTGAAGGTTATTTAATATTTCGATAGGGGAGAGATCAAATGCAAACCACTTAATTTGTACAAACCATGCAAACTTCATTCAACCAATCATAATTTTTCATTTTGTTTATTTTTTGTAATTATGAGAGGTTGATTAATCATTTTTATTGTGGAGGGTGTTAATCATAGATATTATCATCTTCATTATTTTAATTTTACAAAAATACATGAAACAGTTTCATTAATTTTAGAGAAATACATGAAACAATTTCATTAAGTATTATATGAAACAATTTCACAACCATATATGAAACAAATTCATCAAAAAAAGTATTATATGAAACAATTTCACAAGATTAAACCATTTCATGAAAAAAAAATTCATAAGATTAAACAATGAAATCGACAGATGAAAGTGGTTTGCAAGGTTTACACAAATGAAGACGGTTTTCATTTGATCACTACTCTATTTCGATAATTTAGTGAACAATATTATATGTCGTTATTTGTCATATCTTTTATTTTCTAATTATATGTCTTTTTAAAATCATTAATAATCAACAGAGATATTGAATATTATCATAATAAATTTAAGATTTATGTAATTTTGTTTTGTTTCATCATATAATATTATCATAATAAATTAAAATTATAAAATCTTTTCTTCCCCTACAGCAACGATGACCAAAGAGAAGTCCCTTCTTCCTCTGTCAGCGTTTTTAGTTTTGGGGGGTTTTCGATCTCCAACGACAACCAACATTTTTAATTTCGGATTTTTAATTGATTGTTCACATGGTTTCATTTAATTCAACACATTTTTGTTTGATTTGCTTGTTGATTTGGGTTCCAATTGATTCAAAACCAGTTTGATAGCGTTATTACGATTTAGGTTTTATTTGCTGTTTCGATTTAGGATTTTTAGTTTGGTTGATACTTGGTTTCATATGATTCAGACATTCAATTTACTGGTTGATTTGGGTTCAGATTGGGATGAGGCTTTCATATTTGAAGATTTGGGTTTGTTTGTTTTTTCAAATTTGGACATCATTGTGCTCATTAAATTAGATTCTCAGATTTGGATTTAGGTTTAGGTTGTTTGGGAGTGAGGCTTTAGATTTGGGTTCTCAGAGACTCGGACCTGATGTGTGTTTTGGTTTGTTTTCATTTAATTAGATTGGTTTGTTTTGAATCTCGGTGAATATGGCAAGGATCAATATAAAAAGCACAGTAAGGACCAAAAATCTTAGCTAGTATGGAAGGGGAATGACTTTTACTCGATTACTGTTTATCTAAGAGTCACTTAGAGACCATCTATTTTGGTCGAGAAAGTTACTAGATAAGTTAGTGATAAATGGTAACTCTTTATCAGCATGAGTTCTCCTGACAATGGCTTAGGGGCCTTTTACCCAATAAAGGCTGTTATTTAACTAGTCAATTATGACAACGCTAACCCCGTAAGAGTTGTCATCTTTTTGCCCGGTAAGACTATCAGTCCTTACAATCGCATTTCCAAGATGATATTGTAGGTCCTTATCATGTCCATCGGTAAGGTAATTCACCCCGTAAGCATTTACCGTGAAAGCATTAGGTAAACTTCGCCTTAGTTTTTTTACCACAAGGGTGATGCCTGATTGGTTTGAATTTGGCTTCAAAAGTCAAAAGTACCAAGAGGTCACGGGTTCAAATACAAGAAGGAATAAAAATCGTCTTGTGGCCACGGAGGTTCAAATGCGGTGACTTCGGGCTATCTGCAATGCAGGTAGTCGCACTAGGATTAGTCGACTCGTATAGCGGATTGGATATCCAAGTTAAAAAAAAAACTTCGCCTTAGTAACCATCCCCGAATGAATCATTGAAATTAGAGCTCTACTTACAGCCCCTAACAGATATACTAAACCTTCTTTGGTTTGATATATAGATTAAACCCTAAATTTCTGGCTGGTGTGGCTGTGAAGTTAATCAAGAACTTGAAACCTATTCCTACGAGGAGTTTAAACAAAATCATATCGACTGTGACGATTCAAACGGTGTATCAACCAATCCAAGGCACAAACATGTAGTTCAAAAGATTAATCCTCTTAAATGTATCTTGACTTGCAACCAAATCAATCAATTTAAAATGAAAGTAAGCTAGCATTAATCGGTCTATCATCGTCATTCATCAACTAAAATTTGGAAACAAACATAGCAAAACCTGACACCTGAAGCAACTCATCTTTTCCTCAGAATCGGAGCTTCGAGAAGAACCAACGGTTTTTCCCGGTCTTGAAACGCTCCTCCAAACGTGCTTTCGTCTCTTTGCAGGCCGTCACTTTCTTGTCACGCGACTGGAGAGCATCGACCGAGACTACATCCTTGAGATCGACGTCGAGCGTGTACCTCGTCGGCATTATGTGGTTGTAGTTCACAAGCTTGATAAATGCCTTCACACGCGACTTCTTTGCCGTCTTCTTCGCTGAGTCTTTACGTATCACCTTCTTCGGATACTTGGCGATTCCGGCAACAAGGCAGTGGCCGTAAGGACGGTCACGAGTTCCGTCATCGAACTGCTTGACGATCACAGCCTTCCTCCCGGCGAAACGGCCGTTGAGCACCACCACGGCCTTGTTTGGTTTCAAAAACTTCACCATTTTCGCTTCCTCTCCAAATCTGCGTCTCCGCCGCGCTTCTCAAACACGGTATATCAGGGAGATGTGTTTCTAGGGTTTCGGAAATTTGCAAGAGTCACTTTATAGCGTGGTTATTTATCAAACGAGGCCCAACACATTGAAAGAATTACGCATTGCCATTAGGTTTTCTCCAAATTTACAAAAAAAATCATATAAATTTATAAGAAAACGTCAAAACAGCCCACCAATTTTCAATTTGATACTCACTTGGTCCCCGCCCCAAAATACATATCGACAATAAAAATAAATATTTTTTAATTAACTAAATAATAAATTTACATTTAATCATGAGTAGAGTAGTTATGCATATAATTAGAAAGTAAGGTGTCATTTGATTTATTGGAAATTTGGAATCGACCGGAATTTAAAGGAATTGAAAATTGATCAATTATTATTCATGTGTTTAGTTCATTTTTTTTTTATTTTGTTAGGAATTTAAATTCCACCGTTTGTTAGAATGTAAATTCCATGGGTTCTAGCAAAAAGTTTCATCTTGTCATGATGGTTGTCACCACCACTTTCATCGCCGCCAACCCTGTCGTTACCATTGTCAATTTCACTCATTTTATCAGTGTCGTCGTCATCGCCACCATCATTGTTCCTTGCCACTGCCAGTCTGCCACTACTACAACCACTAATATTCAACAAACCAACCAAACAACTTCATATGCTCTTTAACATACTCCATTTCAATTACTATCAACTAAACGCATCGTTAAACCTGGTTCAATATATAACACTTATTCAAGTTTGTAGCATTTAAAAAATATCATATACAAATCACTGACGCAGTGACTTTGAGTTTTGAATGGAGAGTCACGATAAGACCATATGTCATGGTGATTTCCAAGGCAATTACTAAAGTGTCATGTAAGCAAAACTTGTCGAACATGACATGTTTTTTTTATTGGAAGCCATAGTTGTTACATGTATAGTTTCTTGATCAAGGATAAACTATTGGTGATTGTTAATGTGACATAAACATTTTTTACTAATGTGGTAAAGTGTTGTCTAGGAAATTTTGGGTATAATTCTTAAAACGAAATTGTTTTTAATAATTGATAATGTCACATCGTGCTTTTTGATATACTGTCAAATGTTTATTAAAAATATGTGAATAATTTATTAAATGAGAATTTAGTTATTAAAAAAACAAACAAATAGTTTGATTATCGATTAATATTGTTAGAACTTTTTAATTATTAAATTACTAGAAGGGTACTCGTGCAATGCAATTAGATATATTTTGATTTTAATATTTCGTTTTATTCCGTCTCTGTGAATGTTTTAATACGGTTTTTATGTGGTTTTGAGAAATAAATAATGATTTTATTTTTGAATAAAATACAAATTTGAAAATATCATAAAATTTCGAAAATAAATATATCAATATTAGTATCAAATTAACTATTTAAAAGTTCTTGTTTTTGTGTAATTTCTTTAATTTAATTTTTTATTATAATCTAAGTTAGATCTAATAACGAAGTAATTTATTTTTGTTTTAATAATTTTTTTATAGGGATAATAATTAAGTAATTTGTTAGAACTCAATGATTATCCTAATTATATTTTAGATTTTGATATTTAAAATGAGATGTTTATCCAATATTTGATTATGTTTATCTGCAGCTAGTTACACGAATTCAAATATGAAGTTTTAATAAGTTGTACTTATGCACAGTTTACTTGTAATATTAAATTTTAAGTAATATGCATCAATAAACAGTACTTCGTGCATAAAAAATTGTTTTTAAGAATTTCTATCAAATGTTTTTATAATATAGTATAGATAAATTAAACATTATTTTAATACCTAAACAAATATTTAAAATTACAAAAAATAAAAACGACACACACACACACGTGCGTACACGTGCACACACACACGTACATATATATATATATATATATATATATATATATCTACCATTGATCACCTTAACACTCATTTGGATCTTTAATCATTTGTAATATCACTCTCACTCTTATAAATTGTGCTTCTCACATTCTCACCATAACTTCCATTTTACACATATATAATATAATAAAATTATAAACCTATTATATTACACATAACATAATTAATAATACACCACAAAAGGTACATTATCATTCGGTTAAGTTTTTTAACGTTAATCTGATAACATGAATAATGATGTTAATTTTACTACAAGTACGCCTTAAATTTCTAAAATTTTTCTTCCCAAGTATGCAAACTATATCCATTATCACTTAGAAATGCGTAATAAGCCAATAAATAATTGTTTACAATTAGATATGGTGGCAAATAATCGTGTGTGAATGAGAGTTAAAGTGATAATCGTAAGAGGGGATTTAGACCATTGATCACATTTAATCTCAATGCCACCAATGTATCGTGCTTGATACATAAATTGATTTAGTGCATCTCATCTCGGTGTATTTAATTATAATGTGCATCTAAGATGCATATTTTTTTCTTACAGTTTCTTACTTTAACTTTCATTCTCATCGGAACCCAACGCTAAATATGGTTGAGGATATCTGACAAAGATTCAAAAAGAAATTGATGATTACTATAATTGATTACTATATGTTTTACCGTGTATTTATAAAATCAACAAGTATTATATAAATTATTTCACAATAAATTAGAAAATAAATCATTTGTTTTAAATTATAATTAGAATGATACTCGCACAATGCAACGAGATACATGTTGATTTCGTGTTTCATTTTATTTATTTATTTTGTCTCAATCAGTGTTATAACACGGTTTTATCTGGTTATGAGAAAATCGATAATGTATTTATTTTTTAATAAAATATAAATATGAAGATATCATCAAAAACTGAAGGAAAAAAAATAATATCAGTACCAAATTAACTATTTAAAATTTCTCATTTTTTTTGTGTATTTAACCCGTTTTTTATTTTTGGTTTAATAATATAATTTTTTATAAATATAATAATTATGTATTTTGTTATAACTCAATGATTATCCTAATTATATTTTAGATTTTTTTATATTTAAAGTGATATGTTTATTCTCTAATTTATTATGCTTATTTGCAGTTGGTTACACGAATTCAAACATGAAGCTTTAATAAGTTGTACTTACACATAATTTACTTGTCATATTGAATTTTAAGTAATATGCATTAACAAACAATACTTCATACATAAAAATGGTTTTTAAAAGTTTTTATCAAATACTTTATAATATAATATAGATAAAAAATATTTTCATTATTGTTTGTTGCTATCGGATTGAAACATAGTTTTTGATATTAATATGATAATTTCAAGGTAACCGCTAAATCATTACAATTGGGATAATAGAAATTGTATTAGAATGTTACAAGGTTAACTATTAAAACTAAATAAATTTATTTTTATTTAAATTATTATAAAATTAAACAAACTATAAAATTAATATATTTTTTAGACTTGTGTAATGGAGTATTGTTTCTTATTTTATTTTCTCTTTGTTAATAGTTTTTTTTTTTAATAAAAAGAAATTGTATTAAAATGAAAGTGATTTTGTTTTGATTTATATTTAGGAGAACAACTTTTAAAATTATCATTAAACGATCTCAAGGAAACTTTACGTTTATTTTAGCGTCTGTTTGATTATTAGCATGGCAACGGTTATCCTTAAAATGACGTGGCGGTTTTTTTAAAAGTTACATAATATCCCTATCATCTGTAAAATAAAACATGGCCTCCTCATCCACCTCAATTGTTGGCCATCGTTCTTCGGCCATCTTTTACACATTTTCCAACCATGGATCCTTCACCATCTAAACCGCTCCACTTATGGTTTTCGTTGATTTCTTAGATGAAACCCCACACGAAACAAAACAGAACCCATAAGAATCATCAGAAGGTTTACATAAACTATTCTCTTTAACAATCTACTACAATCTCTATTGATAAGTCTCGAAACCACTCAGGAAAACCGAATATTTACATCAAAAAAGACCTTCGGGTCATGGAATAAAGAATATGGAGGAGGAAAGCACATGGTTGAATTTAGTTGCAAGATGACGATGGAAGTGCAGGACCAGAGTTGTAGACTCCTTGGATATACGACACGTCATATTTTTAGATTTATTCTTTTTAATTTTAAATACGATATGTAACATTATTTGACATTTATTTAGGTCAAGTCATCACTAGCAGGTCATTTGGCTAACCATTTCCGTAAATAAAACCTTAAATGATTATTCTAAAAATTGGTTTCATCTTAATGCAATTTTTCCTTTTTTTTATTTTATAAAGAAGTTTGTTAACATTTTTAACAGATTCTTCAAAATAGAGAATCAAAAGTAAAAAAATCTCAATAAAAATGGGTTATCTCCAACAACTTCATTATGTAGATTACAAAATTAATTATCTATATTATATTATAAAACATTTGACAAAAACTGCTAAAAACCATTTTTTATGTACGAAGTACTGTACATTGATGCATGTTACTTAAAATTGAAGATTACAAGTAAATTATGCATAAGTACAACTTATTAAAGCTCCATGTTTGAATTCATGTAACTAACTGCGGATAAACATAATCAAATATATAGAAGATAAACATCTCATTTTAAAATATAAAAAATCTAAAATATAATTACGATAATTATCGAGTTCTAACAAAATAATTAATTATTATCTTTATCAGAAAATTATATTATTAAACCAAATATAAATTACTTCGTTATTGAACCTGAATTAAATTATAATAAAAAAATTAAATTAAAAAATTACACAAAATATTTGAATTTTAAATAGTTAATTTGATACTAGTATTGATATATTTTTATCAAATTTTTATGATATCTTCAAATTTATATTTTATTCAAAAATAAAAACTGTTTTTTTTTTCAAAATCACATAAGATCATACTATAACATCGACTGAGATAAGAATAAAATGAAATATTAAAATCAAGATATATCTCGCTGCATTACGCGAGTATCCTTCTAATATTAATAAAATATTTCTTATTTATTTAATTTCAAGAATTCTTATTGATAAAAAGAATAAAAAATCACCTGTCTTTCTTAAATAATCATTTTAAAAGAATTTTTTAAATTAAAAAAATTCGTTAATTTATTTTTCACACTTTGGAGAAGATGTTCTTAGACAATCTATTGAAATATTGTTAATCGATCTGCAATATAATTCAGATGGAGTCTATCCCACGACAATTTTGTTTTAGAAAATAAATTCAAGTGACACGTTACATTCACAGCTTGTTTTGAAACTGGCGCTTACGATTGGTTTGGTGGCTTAACGAACTCCCCGTTTATTGTAGCCCCAAAACAAGTGTAGGGTTTTATGGGAAGAAGATGATTCTCACTCCAACAATCTCTAGGCTCACTGATTCAACTCACCATCGACTACTCCAACTCGTTAAGACTGCTCTTATCAAGATTTTCGTCTCTCCTTACGCCACTGTCTGTAATCTCTCTCTCTCTCTCTCTCTCTCTCTCTTCAAACACACTATTATCTGTTTCTGTTACTTTTACGTTAAAATTGGTTTCTTTTTAAGGTGTGTGATTTGTATTGCGGAGGAGTACCGGATGAAGACAAGTGGGACGAAGCTCAAATCGGCCACTTCATTGGAATTGGTAATTTCAAATTAAATCAACAACCTTCCTCTCTTTTAGTGACTGATTCAGAGTTTGTACGTGTATGAACTTGTTAACTCGTTCGTTTTAGAAAATGAGAGATAGGGTTTGTGGTTGAATGAATCCTTTTAGAGACTTTAGTTTTGTATATCTCGAGATGGGACTAAATTTTTAGTGTTCAAAATTAAAGAAAACCATGTGAATTTGGTATTTGAAGCAATAACCATAAATTCTCTTGAATAGAAGTAGTAATTATTTTGTTCAAGAATTATTTAGAGTTTTGATATTTTTAGGTGGTTTAAGTTTGTTGTAGGATTAACTATTTCATGGAGATTATCTACTTCCAGCTTATCTTTGTTGTCATCTTTCTTTTTTGTTTTTGAAGTGGATGTTATAGTGTGATTTATCTTCAGATGAAGATATTAATTACCTTTCGTATTTGTTTACTTGCTGGGAAGTGGGAATGAGATCTTTATGTTGGCAGATGAAGCGTCATCTGGAGTTAGAGAAGTTCGAGAAGCATGGGAGAGTCGGCGCAAGACTTACACTTCAGAGTTTTACGAGCTTGATCCCTGCATTGTGAGTCCTTTTGTTTGTATTTAGACATGAATAATTTTGTTGATGTATGCATCTAACTTATCCATCATTGTTATAAATTTGTTTGACATGAGTTCAAAAGCAGTGAAAACATATATGTTTTTGGAAATAGGTTGCAGCCAAAAGTTCATTTATTTGCATTGTATTTTGCGTATGTCATGTATAAATAGTTTAAATTCTCATTTAAGCATTTCCGACTTTGTATTTTGTCCACTGATGGATGTTGATCGTCTTCAGGAAAACTTGGAAGCAAATTTGGGGGACAAGGGAAATACAGCTGATATTGTTTGTTGCATGCAACATTTGCAGGTCTGAGTCCATTGTTTGTATTAATATTTGAACCTACCTCTTATATAACCAGTGAATTTGGAATTTTGTTCTACTAGTTCTGTTTTGAAACTGAGGAGAAAGTAAGAAGACTTCTGCAGAATGTATCATCTTTGTTGAAACCAGGGGGTTATCTTATGGGTATTACTCTGGACTCATCTACTATATGGTAAGGTACCGTGTTTTTGGCAGTTGTCTTCTCCAATATTTATTCATAATCCGTGTTATATACATATTCATATTCCATGTCCATGTTTTGAGTATGAATCCATGCAGCTAAATGACTTTGCAGGGCTAAGTATCAGAAAAATGTAGAGGCGTACCACAACAGGAGTGGTGGCATGAAGCCCAACCTTGTTCCAAATTGCATTCGATCAGACAACTATATGATCACTTTTGAAGTTGAAGAAGAGAAGTATAAGAAAATATCCAATATACTATATTTCTTGTAAAATATAACTAAACACATGAATTTATCTTTGTTATACGGTAAATTGCAGGTTTCCTTTTTTTGGGAAAAAGTACCAGCTGAAGTTTGCAAATGATGCTTCTGCTGAAACACATTGCTTGGTACATTTTCCAAGCTTGATCAGGTTGAGATGTTGACTTTTCAGTTCAAATTATATGTGGTGCTACAGTTCTTTGTTAACATTGTGTTTTTTTGGAGACATGAACTTCAGTAGATTTAGTTTAGGTTACAACTTATCAGCAAGACAAGATTTTTGCCCTGTAAACCTCCACAATTAGACCCCCAAAATTATGATGGTACTTTAAAGAAACCTCCTTCATTTAGGCGCTAGTTCCTGTGACTGTGAAACCCCCTTGATGACATATTTCTTATCTTTTTTTGGGGTGATCTAGATAGTTAACCCTTCTTATGTATTCTGCTTCTGGATAGTCTCTTACCCCCAGTCTTCTCTCCTCTCTCATAAAACTACTCTCTTGGTTTTAATATTTTACATCTTTTTCCAAAACACTGAAGATTAAAAAAATAGTATACCTTTCATTAAACAAGAGCTATGCTTAGATTCTGACCTAGTACCATATAAAAACAAAGTTTATATGGTTTTCTTACTACTACACTTCCCAATCTGTTTTACAATGCTATCAAGGTTCTGGAAATGGGAATACTGTCTTAGGTGCACACTGATGTACATTGCTTTCAAGTATCTACCTGCCTCCTTGGAGGGTTGTTTTAGAAAGAAAAACAAATGAAGTTCAAGGAAGGAAAAGCCGTTGGCATTGTTGACGACGGATCAGATAGGTGTTTATGTAGCATGTGAGTGGTATTGGTGTAGGTGGTGCAGCGGAATGTAGTGATCTCTCTGCCTCTCTGTTTTTATAGCAGCTCGTTTGGAGATAAATAATTTTCATGAGAAGAGAGATTAAAATATAAAATAGCACAAACAATCAAATGAAAAATAGATAGAACAATATCAGGATGTCAAGGGACATTATAGACATTGAAACAGTAAAGTGGGACCTAGATGTGAATTTTAGAGCGTTCAAATTCTCAAAGCGTTCAGGGAAATTGTGGGGGGTCAAATATGAAGTAATGCCACAATACAGGGGGTCTAGTTATAATATATTCTTAATACCAGTTCTTACCCTTTATATCTATGTGTGTTGATCTGTTTAGTTGAAACATGTTGATACCTGTAGTCTATGCTAGTTGACATCCAAAATTTCCCTAATTAATGTTTATGACATGTTACCAGGTTGGCCAGAGAAGCTGGTCTTGAGTATGTGGAGATACAAAACTTGCTGGAATTTTACGACGATAATAGGTGAATAGGTCTTTGTGGGAATTTTACAACGATAACAGTGTCTGTTTTTTTATAAAGGTTGATGTTTCTCATTTTACCCTGTTATATCAGAGCACAATTTTCCGGGATGCTGCTAGAAGCAGGTCATGGTCTTGTGGACCCCAGAGGGAGGCTCTTACCAAAGTTCTATGATGTACTAGGTTGTGCGTCCGTTTCATTTTCCTTTCATTGTATGGTTGTTTTCCAAAAGAGCCCACATGCCTCAAACTTGGATGTTTGTTTATTTATGTCTTCTCCTTTTCTTTCCTTTTGTTTGTTCTTCACTATGCTCACACTTTTGCAGGTTTGTATACTACATTCATATTTCAAAAGCCCGACCCTGATGTCGCCCCTCCGCTTATGACCCCAATATTGCATGATGCAACCGAAATCCTTGATGAGGCAAGTTTTAATAACTATATATTTGACACATGTTTGATGCCTCAAATTCCATATAATTGGCTGTGAAGCAGTTCTGATTTTAAATCTGAATAATTCCCACCTCTGAAATTGCTATAATGTGTATATGCACATGAAGGAAGATCTTTTTCATATTACTTGAACATCATTCATATCGAATAATTATTACAGTTATGTCGAATCCATGATCACTCTTCACACGACCCTCCAACTAAAAGTTTAGTAATTACTGACATAATGGGAGGATGTCTGATCTTTTTCTAAAATGACGCCAATATTACAAATTTCCAAGTACATTCATGCAATACTATGTGCTTGGATAGAGTAAGCACTATAAAGGGAGACCATATCTCTGCACACAGCCTTTTTCTTGCACTTTCAAGAGAAACCATTTTGCGACTTGAATCATATGACCTTCCTGTCATAAAGGAGTGCCTAGAAACTATGTACTATGCACTTCAAGTAAAAGGAAAATTTGGATTTATATTAGGGTGCATCAGATTCACATTGTAATTTAAGATAAAAACAAAGTAGGTAGATAGTAGAATGGTAGTTTTAAGCTAGTGAGTAGTGCTTATACATTTAGACGCATCCTCCATTAGATTGAAATGCAGTGATGCAAACCGAATGGATACTACAGAATTGGAGATATGATTCGTATCAACTACAACAATTAAACAGTTACAATTGATTTCCAGGCACTTCGAAACTGTCGGATGTCTCCAAGGCTCTCGCCCAAAACACACATAAACTGACGATGCCTTTCTAACCGCTGGCTCCCTTTATTTATATTGCCTAAAGCATGTACTCATGCATTTTACACTTGTACCATAGTCTACTCTATTTGACTTATTTACTAAAATACCCAAGGTATAACATGCAGCTGCACCATGCCAGTGCTAGAAAGGAATCTAGAAGAAAATTTGACTGTTTTCTTTTTCTTAAAGCACCTCAAACATTGCCAAATTTTGGGGGCAAAGACAGTATAATATATGCATAGTTGTTAATTCTTATATTTGTTTCAATTTTCTCCAAAAGAATTTATATAATAAACACCTTAACATTTTTGATGCCCAACCAAATGGCGAATGGCCTGGCAGCATCTGGGTTACTGGTGGATCCCAACCTTACCTATTTGGAGGTCAAAGGTTCAACGTCAGAAAAAGTGAGGGGTGTGTGTGAGTTTTGCCATATAAAAATATTATATACTTCAAAAAACATCATCAACCCAGATACTGTCTGATATTTAAGAACACTGAAGCTACCTGAATTTGCAAGTTGAGACAAGGCTAGCAGTATTTTCGACCCTTGAATTGAATAAATCACAAAAGTAGAATTTATTTACTTTTCCAACTCGTTATATCTGTGTTTCTTGATTTTTGTTTCAGAGGGACTGGCAAGGTAGCGTGTGGAGGGACGAAGAGAAAGTTGGACCGTCTCATACTGAATCAACTTTCAGCTTGGGCAAGATAACGGAACAGAAAGGGATATTAGGTCCTGGACCTGAAGGCTTACGTTTCTCGGAAGCTCTCTAACCTTCTTCATGGTGCTCAACTAATATAACCACTTCATGTATGCATTTGTGATTAACAACTAAACGACATAATCTTAGAGGATTGCATTTTATGTTGTTCACTAGGCCTCTCTTCTTGAGCTTAAAAGGTACTGTTTTTTCTGGAAAAAATGACTTCCCTGATTATTTTGTACATAAATAAACACTTCATTTTTTTCAGGGATTAGCTTAAAATTGCATTTTGAGTTTGAAATTTAAACATTTAAATGAGTTTAACTTTGATGTTCTCTTTTGGGTCGATTTTGAAGTATATGCTATTATTATAAACGCTAAAATTTACTACATACATGTGATGAGACTTGATCTCTTGAGCTTCGTAACGTTGGGTTACCCTTGGATTGTGTTGGGTTGATTGTTGTTTCTTTTGGCAGTGTTGGTGTTAAAACCATGTCATTCTATGTCAACCAACTACAGAGTGGATAGAAGCTCAAATTTTTACAATACGATCCCGTCAAGTACGTAGATGATGAATGTACACACATGCCATAACGTTAGCAGTCATACCATGGTATCGATGTCCCGGCTCTCGAGTGCATTCACGAATGTGTCTGATAAAAAAGAATTTCATGAAGCAACTATATAACCATCCTATTAATCGGGTCCAATTTTTCTTCGAGTCGTTTTACCAGGAAACAATTAGGTGTGCGCCAAAGCCCGGAAGGTTGATAAATTGGAGAATTTTCACTTTACCCCTCTTAGTTATTTTTTTTGATTAATTAATTTAATTTATTAAATATATTGTATAAAGTCACAATTTTTATGATAAAATACATCATTAAGGGTGCGTTTGGTGCGCAGACAGGACTGGACAGGACAGGACAGGACGGGACAGGACATGACAGGACAGCTGTTCAGCGTTTGGTAAGACAGGACAGGACATGATAGAACTGGTTAAAATGACCAATTTACCCCCAGTGAGCTGTTTAGTGTTTTTTCACTACGAAATGCATTCTGGTAACACTGGTCCTACTACCACTACAGCCCTAATAATTCAACAACAACAACAACAACAACATTCAGCAATCATAATCAATGTAAACTCTCGAAATAAATCATAATACTTCATTAAAATCCCTAATAAGTACTTCAATTAATCAAGTTGTTGGCGAAATCGAGTACGAAACCACCATCAAAATATAATTCCTTACTTGCATGAAATAAGAAGAAAGATATTTGAAGAGTTTCTTCAAATTCGTGATGTAGTTGCTGTAAGAAGCAGCAGCGGCGGCCATCGGAGAAGCAGCGGCGGCGGCCATCCGGAGAAGCAGCGGCGGCGGCCATCGGAAGTCGCCGTCACCAGACGCCGGTTGAGCGGTGGAAGCGATGGAGGAGAGGAGAGTGAAGGGGAAGAAGGAAGGTATGCGTATGAGGTTTTTGAGGGTAAAATGGTAAAAAGTTTCTTGTTCTACTTAGTTCCATGGGTAAAGGGTGGACAACCTTGTCCCACCCTTGTTCTAGTTTGTTCTAGTTAGTCCCACATAAAACCACACCAAACATAGGACAATTGTGTTCTGTCCTGTCMTGTCCCACCCTGTCCAACGTACCAAACGCACCCTAAAGAATCTGTATATCATATAATATTTTACGAAAAACATTTCACACATTTTGGATGAACACGATATATTTATGAGTATTTTAATTAATGGAGTATTTTTTTTAATAAAAAACTACTATGAACATTTTTGTTTACTAGAAAGTTGTTTATTATTTTTTTATTAACCTGGATATGTAACCCGTTATGTGAGCCGACTAATCTTAGGACGACCACCTGCTTTGCAGATAGTCCGGAGTCATCGCATTTGACCCTCCATCTCCATGGCCACAAGAAGATTTTTAATTCTCTTTGGATTTAAACCGATGACCTCCTGGTATTTTTGACATTTAGAGCCAAACTCAAATCAATTAGACATTACTCTTATTGTTAGTTTTTCATTATTTAAATTCATGATGTTAGTAATAATTTCACGTTCTAAGAAATTTAATTGAAAACTTAATTTTTTTAAATGACCTCTTTAGAACCACCAATTGACCCAAATTCTATGTTGCGAAAATTAAACCCTAAAATAATGATTTTAAGGGATAGTTTCTGTAAATAGAACCTGGTGTTCAAAATGGAACCCAGAAGCAAGCTTCAAGAAACTGCAAGGGATGGAGATGTGCGACGAAGAAACCCTTGTGGAAGCAGCGTTGCGTGTGCTGAATACACCAGACCCAGTCGACAAGGCCAGACTTGGAGATCAAATAGCAAACAATTGGCTCCAAGGTCTCATTCTGCATCCCTACCACCCTTCTCAACCTGATATCGCAGTACCAGATCGACCCGCCAGACTTGCCAATGTTAGCTTCTCACACTCTTAGAACTCTTCTTCAAATCTGTTTGTTGTTTGTTTTGCAAATGGAAGCACGCCAAGTGTTCGATGAAATGACTCACTGGTTTCAATTGTTGTGAACAATTTATTGTGCAGGTGAAGTTAGTGTCGCCAAGTCTTATGCCGAAGCTTGGGAAAGCCGGAAGCTTACAGAGCAGACAAGCAATTGTGCATAGCCTTGTTCACATTGAAAGTTGGGCCATTGATTTGTCTTGGGTACTCCCTGCTCTGTGTCTTTTATATATGGATATTTGATTCTATTGCTTAAAGACAAATCTTTATACTAAATTCCATGATTGCTAGGTGTTTGTGGTAATTGCGAAGTAAAAAATGCAAGATAGCTTGTGCTATTAGCAGGGATGAACTTAGGAGAACATGTATGAGTTGTATTGGAAGTGTATCTTAAGTTCTTAACTTCTAATCGAAATAGAATGACAAGATGGTAATATTTACGAGATGAACAATTCTACTGTGATGCTTAAATTTTCAAATCTTTTTCTTTGATGAAGAAAAATCTGTGCACATGTTGGTCTTTGTAGGTTTTCTTGATCCTATGATCCATTTAATCATTTTCATATATGCTACTAAAACAGGATATAATTGCGCGTTTTGGTAAGCAAGAATCAATGCCAAAAGAGTTCTTCAATGATTTTGTGAGAGTGGCACAAGATGAAGGTCGTCACTTCACGCTTCTTGCTGCTCGGCTTGAGGAGTTGGGTTCTTTCTATGGAGCACTCCCTGCTCATGATGGTTTGTGGGATTCGGCTGTTGCTACGTCGAAAGACCTATTTGCACGTCTTGCAGTGGAGCATTGTGTTCATGAGGTGCACCTAATGTTTATAATTTTGCATTATATTTCTTTCATAATAGCCTCCTTTCTCTTATTATTTGTATACCTTTTCCATGGCTGATCACATGAACATAAATGATTCATTTGCACGTTAAGTAATACAGTTATGCATTTTTGAGGATATCAGCTATGTCCTTATTATGTGTGTGTTCCTGAATAGGAAGAGTACCTTCCCATGAATACCCACTACGAAATCTAGCAACAGTTGTAAGATAGATTAACCTTAAGGGACAGCTCAACTGGCAAATGAGGGCTAGCCTTGGGGCTCCTTTCCATAGGTCGCCAATTCGAGTCTTCTGAGAACCACTAGGGATTTTCCAGGCTGTAATCTTCCGGGGCCTCATTGGATTAGTCGAGGTGTGCTCAAGCTGACCCGGACACTCACAGTTTCCTTGTGACACTTCTAATTTTAGAAAGTGTTCATTTTGCAATTACACTTTTGCTCATTGCCATCGCTACAAAAGGTTGATGACATTGATTTAGCTCTACATTATTCCTTTTCTGTGTTGATGTGGAAGGGTATTTTAGCCATTTGACAAACGATCAAACACTTCTTCTAATCCATACTGTCTGTCAGGAGTTCTCATGGAGGGAGGGAGTGTTTTCTTAACCAGTGCCACCCAAGAATCTTTAAATCATTAGATATCAACTTGATGACCTAACAGAATTGAATTCACAGGCAAGAGGACTGGATGTGCTGCCTACCACCATCTCGCGTTTCCGTAATGGAGGTGACAACGACACGGCTGATTTGCTGGAGAAGGTGATTTACCCTGAAGAAATCACTCATTGTGCTGCTGGAGTGAAGTGGTTCAAGTATCTATGCTCGCAATCTAAAACTCCAACGGACGATATCAGTGGAGATGAAGAAAGTGATGAAGTGATTGAGAAGTTCCATGAGGTTGTGAGGGCATATTTCAGGGGACCATTGAAGCCTCCTTTCAATGAGGCTGCAAGAAGAGCTGCTGGATTTGGTCCTCAATGGTATGAACCTTTGGCTGTCAAAGATTTCACCCAATAACTCCAAGAACATTTAAGGTTATTTCATATGATAATATATCAGGTCAGAATTCCTAAACGTTTTATCCCTGATTTTGGTTGTTTAGTAAATGTTTAATATACTTTCAAGTGGGATCTATTGGGTTCTTTCGATTGAGTTGTTGGAAGCGAATAAACTTTACTTCCCGTTTTGGTTGTTTTTTTTTTTATTAACCTGGATATCCAACCTGCTATGTGAGCCGACTAATCCCAGGACGACCACCTGCTTTGCAGATAGCCCGGAGTCACCGCATTTGAACCTCCGTGGCCACAAAGGGATTTTTATTTCTCCTTGGATTTGAACCTGGGACTTTCTGGTACTTTGGAGCCAAACTCAAACCAATCAGGCACCAACCTTATGGTTTTGTTTTGGTTGTTTTATATGTACTCACGATGAATGGGTTTGTTACATGTTTTTTTTTCTCTCTATAAATTTGTCATTGAAGCGATTTTAATGAAACAATTATTTGTATTTATAATAAAATATAAGCAATATACGGGATTGTTGTGATAGCCACTTGATGAATTGGATCGGTATTAGATGTAGGGGGTGTTCATGAAATGTTTAGCGTATAGTCGCTTACCAATAAAAGTCGCCATCCTTGGTTACCTTGTCAAGTAATATTTTTGACTATCAAAATAAATTGTTTGCAAGTGTTTTTTAGCTGGTAAACCCTAACCGAGTAAGGGGTCGTTTATCAAACGCTTACTCAGGTAAGTAAACACCAAGTCACATTACCTTATCCGATAAATATGGTAAGGACAAAAAATCTTATCCGGTAAGAGCGAGACAGAAGGATCAAGAGTCTTACTCAGTAAGTGAGGGCGACGACTCTTACTACGGTAAACGCTTACCGGGTAAATTGTTGCATACGATGCCGTTTTAGTGGACTAAATCTTACACGATAAATAAATGATAGTGTTAAATTTTTACCGATAAGCACTTACCGGATAAATGTTTGTTAAATTTTTACCGATAAGCACTTACTGGATAAATAAATGATAGTCTTCTCTAGGTTGTTGCCATGCATCTTACTTTCGGTCCTTGTCATTCTCACCCTGTAAGACAAGTGACGTGGTAAACGGTCCCGTATTTTTGGATTCGATCAAATGAAGTTCTTTTACCACTCTTCGTATTTAAGGTAAAAATCAATGCATGTAACCTCTTTCACGTATTTAACAGGATTTGGGTATGATTTCTAGATCGATCACCCTCGTCGTTGACTGCCATTTAATTATATTTTTAATTATGGGAAATTAATTTTATTATAGAATTATTCCAACATATATCAGTCAGATACCTCCTACAAAACGTTTATCCCATAACAAAAAGGATGCATTCACAACAACAAAATACTGCTACTTGATGCAGCATAGAAGAGCATTAAGCTTAGAAGCCAAAACTCAAATATGCAGTTACCATGCTTACCAAAGGAACAGATATGTTGTCATCCAGGCCTCCGTTTGTCGGGAGTGACTCCACCAACGTTGCCACCATCGCAACCATTGCCACTCGTTCAACTGTCCTCACCCAGTCTAGCTCAAAGTACCCAAAGATTGAAAAGTAGTACAGCATCCTGGATAAAAAGGGAAAATATTTCAATTATTTGAGGTAGGTCCTATGTATAAATAACCTTAAACAAGTTATCGATTGACAGCATGACCTAATTTTTTAGCTCAATGACCTTTCACCTCATCTATCTCTTGTTCAAAACAGCCTGCCCCTTCTACTCCCACAAAAGGGTTAAATTATTAAATTCAGCTTTTGAGAAGGTCATTTAGCTAAAGAGTCCTCAGAAGCCGGATGGATGTCCATCACATTATTTTTGGCTGGAAAAGTTCGATTGGCGGAAGGTCATCAAAACATGAAATAATGGCAAATAAATAAAATTTATAGTACAAAGGTGAAACATATTTTTCATATTGTTAAGAGGGCAAAGAAACAATAAGAGGATAACGTACCCGATTGAGATTAAGAAACCAACTATAAACATAGAGATGCTACCGGCCCAACTCTTGTGTTTGTTGTAAGGAATTTTATGGAACCCAAATCTTCTACCCATGATATCTGCAATACCTATAGGGTTATGTTTAATGTCAGAAAGAAGTCTAAGAATCCAAAAATCGAACACACGAAGCTGAGAGAAGATACCATCGCCACCACACATCATCGACAGCGAGATCACACCGACTGGCGACTCGCGCCAGAAGACAAGAGAAGATAGAATCAACACCAAAACATAATATAGAGGCCCTCTAAGCAATTCCCTGCCATCAAGTCAGTTTGAAATTTTGGACACTTTCATTTGGGAACTTACTAGAAGGCAAAACAAGCAAATGAGGATACTATTATAACTTATAAGGAACTCATTCTGGTTTTACCAAAAGACATTTGGCTTAGCGGTATCTGGGTTACTAGTAAAGACAACCTCTCAAAAGGTCAGGGGTTTAAACATCACCAAAGGTGAAGAGGGTGTGTGAGTTCATTTGTCATATATAAATATTATATTCTTCAAAAGAAAAAAACTTACTCTGGTTTTCCTTCTCGTGTGACTGACTTGATGAGGTCTTCGTTGGTTACCAGTGAAAGACCGTGCACAAGAAGCCTTGTGAAGTTTAATAAGGGAACTACAGCAGCAAAATAGCGAGCTTCTGTAGATGTACTAATCTAGGATTGAAATATCGACTGTAAGAGTTCGATTGGTATGTATATGGCATGATGTCCATTTATAGAAATAAACGAATTTTGAGTGATTGAAAATACCTGAAAATTGGCCAGCAACCCATATAAAGCAATCCAGATAATATATGAACCAGTTTTCTGCTTAGATTCTGAAAGGGGGAAAAGAAAGAAAATAAGGAATTGAACCTGCCAAACTACGTTTTACTCTATGTTCTGAGGTTACAGAGCCGAATGCAACTTGTCAGTGTTGTTGAATAACAACCCGAAATCTGCTCCTGCTGCAAAAGCATCAAAATTGGATGGAGAACAAAGTGGGTTGAGTAGCAGCCAGGAAAAGACCTTCAAGAAACCCAACAAGATACTTCCTTGTCCTTGATGTAGTTGCATGCATACCAAGTTATGTTATTACAATAATTACAACGTTAATCAACTCACTATTGCAATAACTGTCAAAGATACCGGACAGCTGGTGGGACAACGAGGAATGTTCCTGTGGGTGCCGCCCACCGTAAGAATTATGACTTTGGCCTCTCAATACCGTCAAATAACTGTCATGGAAGCTCTTCCCGTTGAGCTGAATCACATCGTTTTAAAGCCTAATGGTAACGTCCTTAACCCATTGACTCGAGCAAAGGTGTGTCTGAACCAAATGTAAGGACAGTGCCATTGGGCTTAAAAAGGGTCAATTCAGCTCATTGGGAAGAGCTGCATTGACAATGGTATTCAGAGGCCGAGATCTTAGTCTTACAGTGTCCGACACCTAGAGAAACACTCCCCATTGTCCCACCAATTGACCAGTATCTTTGACAATTCTTGCAAAAGTGATGAGGTTGAAGAACTTTGTACATTGTTGTAATAACACAACTTGGTATCCATGCTATTACGTCGAGGACAAAAAAAAATATCTTGTCGGGTTTCTTGAGGGTCTTTTCCTGGGTCTTACTCAGCTTACTTTGTTCTTCCTCCGATTTTGATGCTTTTTGCAGCAGCAGATTCATTTTTTCTTGAAGGTGTGTTCGGATTGTAGTTCAACACTGAAGTTGCATTAGTCTCTGTAACCTCCTCATAAGCTATGGAATGGACTCTATCCTCCTCTTTATCAATGTACCATGCAAACTTCATGAATCATGAACCGAATCCTATCGTAAATTCACTTCTGATTTTTCTAGACCAAAATTATATAATATATAAAACACAAACACCAAGCATCACATGATGTGTGAACCAAAATATACTTTAGGGGCCGTTTGGTTAAGGCAGGGGAATGAAAATATGAATACTCCCTCACTTTAATCTGGAATGAAAATGTGGGGAATGGGCCCATTACATTATATAAAACCAAACAATTTTTTTTTTTTTATATTCAATCCCTTTAGACTAGATATATTTAACCTAACACCCCTTGTATTAATGACGATAAGAGTCTTGTCCTGTTAGTCGTTTGTTACAATTTCACCAATATTAAAGAAGATGCCCATTAATGTGGCTTCAAATAAAATTTCAACCTAAACTCCACATAAAAATCCACGAAACCAACATAAAGAAGAGATCAAAGACTAAGGGCCGTTTACCAAACTGACAAACTCTTACCAGATAAATGCTTACCAGGTGGTGGGTGCAAATTACCTCACTGGTGAGCATGGCAACATTGGCAAGGACCGAGAATCTTATCTGGTAAGAGGCCTAGCAAGGACCAAGGATCTTACTCGTTAAATGAGGGAGAAGGCTCTTACCCTAAAGACGTTTATCGCAATCCATTTTGATGATCGAGAATGTTACTGGATAAGGAAAGTGAGGATGATGACTCACACCGGTAAGCACTTACTTGGTTGTGGTAAAGTTTATAGAGTTGCAGGGGTGGGGTTGGGTCATAGGATGGGTGATATTTGCAGAAAGGAATTGGCTAATACCAATTCACTTCAAAAACAGGAAGATCGATAAGGGGTATTTAAGGAAAATTATTTTATATAATTATTTGTAGATTAGCTGAACAGCTAACATTTGTTAAAACCTTAAAAAGATGAAATACTGGAACTAAGGGAGTCATTTACAGGGGTGCATTGAATACAATTTATCACAAGAACAGGTTAGTCTCAAAGAGGAAAAGGGGTTGGTGCAAGGTACAACTTTTTATCCACTACACATGTATATCTCAAAAAGCAACCACCCTTTGAAAGTGTTGGATCCTTGGCCTCAAGGTGCTGGCACCAAACAAGCTCTTTCCATGAATAACTCTCTAATAAAATTTGAAATATATGGTTGATCAGGTGGTTGGGACCCTCATATGAAACTAAGAGTCATGGATTGAAATCTCACCCTTGGTTTTTCCAGCAAATTACCAAAGATGTAGGCAACAAAAGTGCAGTTTCCATGTCCAAATGCCAAGTTCAAGAACACTGCTAACGTTTACCACAAAAGTGACAACATAACCAGCACATAACACAAAAGAAATTCTACCCATTTGGCTCAAACAAAGAAGTCTTAAATTCTTCCAGGTTGTTTTCTATCCTACAGAGCCATAATATAACTCTGTGACATCTTGTCTTCAAATTATGAATACTTTCCGACGATAATTAAATTGATAGGAAGGTTATTGGGTCTGTCAATGCTTTGTATAACTGGTATTTGAGGTGAAATGGATGACCAAATTGGGTGTGGTACATGTCACCCAATGAGCTAGCACTAAAGAGCCATAAAAGCAGGTGCTTAAAAAGTGAAAATGGTCCAAAGTACTATTACATATACAGACATACAGCACATGCAATTGATGCAACTTATGCATAATTTTGATGTCACTTTTATGTTTCAAGAATTTGCTCCTTCACAATATATGACAATTCATAGAACTAAAGACCACGTTATGCCAGCAAATCTGTAGATGTGCTTCATGATTTTGATCATAATGTCATGCATTTTAATTGTCAAACTACCAATTCAAATTGTATTTGCGATTGATGAATGATGATAACATTTGAAGTTAAAAATCTAAAGAAGAATGAATTGAATTAGGTTAATCAAGATATTTACAGAGGCCTTTTCTTAGGACTTCCCTTAATACTACCGCAGGGGAGAAGACGAAATCCAAACACGAAAGGGACCGGACGAGGCACTCGATTTTAGCATCTACAGACGCAGGAAACGGTGTCTGGCCGGATGCTTTTCCGGTGACTATAGCGGTAAAAAAAATACATAACCGTAAAAGACTAGAAACTACTGTTTATCAGTATGTGTATGTATGCATGTATATATATACGCGCACACATATATCATGTAGAGATTGAGAGATACCTGTTCGATGATTTGCCGCTGTGTCAGATTATCAAAACCAGCGACGAGTGCATAGGCACCGGCAACGACGAGGACGGTTGCTCCGGCGTCCTGAAGCAGAGGACCTGAAACATTCACGGCGAAAGCAGTAGAACGAACGTTACGTGGTGGAAGAAGAAGAAGAAGGCGTCGTTGGTTGTGAACATCAACAGAAGTATTCCAAATTCGATCTAATCTAGGACGGAAATCATGTCTCCGAGGGCAGAATTGATTACGAAGCAAAGAGAGTTTGAGATTTGCGGCGGTGGTGGCGACGACGGCGGAGATGGAGGAATGTGGCGTGGAGGCCATCTCGAGGATCACGTCCCTTTTCCGTTTGTGAAGTAAATCTGGCAGGGCTAGTCTTGAAGTGGAGTGGGACCTACTACAGAGGTTTCAACAAGGGTACCAAAAGATAACGCCTGCGTGTCTGGTCTCGTATGTTTCTGCGTATTTCTGGCATCATTAGATGCATCTATTTTTCATTCAATGCACAGTTATTTTTAGAGTAAACTATATGTCGCAGTCTATGAAAACAAGTTTTTAACGGTATTTATTTAGGCTTTTTTCAAAAATTAAAGGGGTTATGTTTTTATGGTTGTATTTTTTATAACGAGTTAGATTTTTATAGGGTGTTTATGGTTGTTTATAAAAACAATTTATTGATTTATTCCGGTGTGATATTGATAATAAATACTTTAGAGTGTTTGGATAAACAGCTTATACCGGTGTCAAACCGGTAATAAGAAATTTTTTAAAAAGTTAATAATAAGTTGATAAACACTTTTAAAGAAAAACATGAGTTGTTTCAAATAAACAATCTCAAACACCCCTTTAATGTAATTACAAGTACTCAAGTCATAAATTATTTTAGGACCAAATTCATTAGAAAAATACAACAATATAAATGTAACTCGTTAAAATATACAACAATAAAGATGTATTACATTTAACCCTTTTCAGAAGAAAGAGGCAACGCTGTTAAAAACCTTTAACCAGAGCAATGAAACATGTAATTTACTCTATATTTTATATTAATAATACATTTTAAATAATTACATCAATTTTTTTTAAAGCATTACTTCAAAATTAATGGGAAAGCATATTATTTCTATGATGAAAATAAAAGGCAATAATAAATTTGATGCTAAATTGAATAACAATCTTAGTATTATTTGGTAGAAATGAGTTACCTTATTTTTTGAGTATTTTCTGGATGTACATAAGCTAGCTTATTGAAATGCTACTTGGATTATCATTTTGATAGTTATTGTCATTTTTTTCAATTATAACTCTCATTAATATTACTTATTACTATTAAGTAAAAATAAATATTAATAAAATTTAGTATTAAGTATTAATTAATATAAATTAAATATTAATTAAATTTAACTAGAGATTATATGGACAGCCTACGTGGATAGTGAGGTGACATGTAAATCTGGTATAATAGATAAATATAAATCAAAAGGTTACTCAATACTATAATAGGTAAAAAAAAATTAAAATACAATACTCTGGTAAAAAATAATTTGAGAGTATAATATTATAATAAGAAAAACTAAAAATACAACATTATAATAAGAAAATTTATAAAAATAAATTGTTATTTTCATGTATTTTACCATTTTTCTAATAAATGTTCAGTTAATGTTACACCGTGGACATGGTCATTTCATAGTAAATATGCAGAGGGGACCACAAAAGAGGACTTTGAGGTTGAGATCTCAACGCATTAAAACCTTACATTAAATAAAAGTTACGCATTTATTATAACGACCAGAGTCATGACAACCAATCATATTTATATGCTTATTTTATTTAAATTAATACTATTTATTTGCTATCACTTAATTTTAATATTTGAATAAAAAGTCCGATTACCAACAATCCAAATTGATTTCATATGAAATCCACATCCGAGAACATCAATGTGAGGTTGTATGTTTTTGCTCATTTGGTGGCGGACCCATAATCGAAGGAGGGACGTGTCTTATATTTGGGCAAAATCGTCCAACCCTTTACCAACTAAGCTGCACGTCAGCGGTTGTTTGATTTTTAATATAATAACTTGTATTTAATTAAATTTATAATATAATCTAACAATTTAAAATCTTATTTCAATTATTTAATAGCACTGAAAATATTTAATTAAATTTAAATATTTGTTTGATAAAAATAGCCCAAAAATATTTAATAGTTTGTACTTGTGAAAATATAATTATGTGGTCCCTAATGAAGAAAAAAAAAAGAATTAAAATACTTTTATTTGAGTGTTACTCAAATGCTTGCATTTAAATGATGTTAGTGGTGGAAATCGAATCTATAAGAAACTAAAATTATAATTACCAAAAATATTTAATTATTTTTATCTTATACAATAACAAAATAATATAATTTTTTATGTGTTAATTTTTTAATCAAAAAATATATAGTTTTATTATATCAAAAATACTGAAAATACCATATATAAAAAAAGAAACCAAAAAACATGTTAATAAACTAAAAAAGTAAAATAAATTAAAAGACTAAAATACCTCTAAGCTAGTAGATGGCTTTTAACGTATTTAATTTTATAAACGAAAACAACAATAAATTACGAACCATAAAAATGAGATTTAAAACATGTATACGAAAATCACAATTTTTCTCAAACCAAATAAATGTAAATCATAGTTTACTACTTTAAAGTAAGATAAATTTTATTGCATTTTATGTATTTCATCCTGAGAGAAAAAAAAAAGATGATGGTGGAGCTTAATAAGTTGTATTTATGTACAATTTACTTGTAATATTAAATTTAATTAATATGCATCAGTAAACAATACTTCATATATAAAAGATGCTTTTTAATATTTTTTGTCAAATGATTTATAATATAGTATGGATAATATGATTAAATCGAAAAATATTTAATACTAGACTCATTTTGAAGATATTAGCGACACGGTTATAATGTTGTAATTTGTTATAAGAGAAACATATATTTTTAACCTAGTTAATATACGACTATGTACGTTTAATATGATAATGATGTAAAATTGAAAATAAAAAAAAGTAAGGGCTACAAAGTAAAACCAAAAGCTAATTATGAAATATAAGAGTATAAAATATAACTTAAAATTTAAAAATAATTATTGTTGACTTTTTGAATTTATATGTGAGAAGAAGTAGATAGTAGGATGGGTATAAAATGTACTAGGGGGTATCCTTGGGGAAAAAAAATACATTAACATGTAACTTTCGTTATTCTAAAATCTATTTTAAAGATTTTACTTTAAAAACACAAAAATATTAAAAGTGGTCATATAGGGCCGTTTACCAAACGTTTATCCGGTTAAGCACTTACCAAGTTACATTATCCTACCGAATCAACATGGCAAAGACCAAGAATCTTACCCGGTAAGAGCGGAGGCAAGGACTGAGAGTCTTACCCGGTAAGTGACGGCGACGACTCTTATTACGGTTAGTACTTACCAGGTTAATTGTTGCATATGTACCGTTTTCATGGACTAGAATCTTACTCAATAAGTAATTGATAGTTTTAAATTTTGTCGATAAACACTTATTCGGATAAGTGTTAGTAAATAGCCTAATCGGACAATTCTGTCCTACATACGAATATACGATTGTACTACATACTACAGTAACTTTGTGGTCACTCCTCTCCCCTATGTTTTTCGTGCAATCAAGTGGAATAAAGGCCACTTTAAATTAATGTTATTAAAAAAAATTATATATTATATAATTTTTTTAATGTTAAAATCAGATTAATTTATGCATTGACAATATAAAAAATGGATTTTGTTGTTGATATGAATGAATTTTTTTTACAAAGTATAAATGCATTTAGCAATATATATATATATATATATATATAATATTTCAAATGCAACCATGTCTATTTATACAACCAATGCAACCCAATTAATTGAAATATTTATGAAAATGATAAGAGTTCATTTACGTCCTTTACTTTTAAATGTTTCATTTTAAACATTTATCAAATTAACATACATAATTGTATATCAATTAAAACATGTTTAAGAAATACATTTTTATTTTAACAAGTTACACCATTATAATCGTCTTGTTAATACCTTCGAAATGAGTCCAATATTGAATAGTTTTTGACTTAATTATATTATTATATATTATATATACTGTGAAAAAATATTTTTAATATTTACGATTTATACTTTTATAGTTATTTATGTATATATATACTATATATTTTGGGGTTAGGCTGTCCAAATTGCACTGTATAATATGTTTTGAATTAATATGTTCTTGGGTTTTTTTTGAAATATATATATACATGTATTAGTTCAACTTTAAACTAAGTTTCTGGACAAGAAAGATGGTAAGCAGTTGAAATTTCATTTTAAAACTCATCTTTTTTTGTCTTTTCATGGCTTATGATCTATCAAATTTGTAGTTTTCTTTATTGGTTTTGAGTGTTTATCTTAAAACTCAAGTTTCTTCGTTCTTTGCTCTTGGTGTAAATCGAATACATTTGTGGAGTCGTTTAAATATGTTGGATTTTAAATATATTAGATTTTAAACTGTCATACAATTTTTTTCATCGATAGTCTGTAATTGGAACCATCACTCTTATTTATTCAAATTGTATTGATATGTAAAGACCAACTGTAACATATATCATCGTTAAATCTTATCTTATAAAATCAGTGGAACTTCAAAATCGTTAAAATTCATGGCTCCCGCCGTATTGCGCGGATACACAACTAGTATATATATATATATATATATATATATATATATATATATATTGATGTATTTAGTCCAATGCCTGAAAAAAGTTATTCAAAATAGGATTAAATGCATGAAATAACAATCTACTTTCATAAAATTTATTATTATAGTATTCTACTTTTGTTTTTCTTTATTACAGCAATGTACTTTCAAATTATTTTTTATTAAGACATCGTACTTTAAAAAATTTACCCATAATAGCAATGGATAACCTGTTATCTTTTAAACCGGTTAACCCTTTGACTGTTTTGCATATGTGGTTTTAATGAGGTGATGTGGATGTCACATCATTTTGATGACTTAACTAAAATTAAAATTAAAACCTATTTCAAATTATTATTAGTGATTTTCATTTTCATTGCTATGATCTAAAATAACATTTGTTTTTTTTACTTTTTTCTTATTAAGTTGCATTCAAATTAAATATAAAACATTATTTTTGAGATATATTTTGCTTGTAAAAAAGTAACTTTTTCTATTTTATGTTGTTCAAATAAATACATATCTTTTAAAGTTCTCTTTAAAATATTAACGAAATAAATTATTATCTATAATTTTTTAATATTG